AAGTCATCCTCAATCGGAATTGTAGAAGTCAGAATATTAAATATTGAATTTAAAAATTATATTAAAGTGATGGATGTAAGTAAGGTGTTAAATGTAGGTCTAAATATAATCTAGATAAGTTGAAAAACTAGATGAAGTTTTGTTTTAGAATAAAAATATTAAAGTGATGAATGTAAGTGTTGTGTGAAATGTAGGTCTAAATATAATCCAGATAAGTTGAAACACTAGATAAAGTGTTGTTTTAGAATTTGGAAGGTATGAAAAGGATGAATAAATGAATGATGAATAATGAGTTAAGAACGAAAGGGAGAGCAATTAAATCAAAAGGGAATGGACAAGGCGCAGTAAAGGTGAAGAATTAAGAGAGAAAGAGGACTTTTACGTTGGGCGCCAAATGTCGTGAAGCGACAATTAAAAAAAAAAATAGAACCTAACCTAAGTACAACAAAACAACAAAAGTAGAGCCAGAAAACAATATATTTAAATTTATAAAAGGTATTTACAATTTTATAAAAAAAAGAAATGAGGATGATGATGAATGAAGTGAGAGTACAATTAGATTATAAAAAAAAAGGGTGAGAGAATAGGGGAATATAGTGTTGTAGTGGGGCCTAAAAGTCGAAGCGACACACGTTGCGTTTGTAGAGGTAGGTTTCTTAGCAGCGACGGCACGCAGCGCCTGAAGCCAACACACGCCGTTTGCGCTTGTAGAGGTAGGTTTCTTAGCAGCGACGGCGCGCAGCGCCTGGAGCCAGTACACGCAGCGTCCGGAGCCGGCGCACGTAGCGCCTGGAGAAGGGGCGCGCAACGCTTAGAGCCAGCAGTTGCAGCGCCCAATGGTAGCGCTGGCGGTAGGTGCACTCGGCGCCTGGAGTAAGTAGTCGTAGCGCCCGGAGTAGTGTGGCCCCCGCGCTTGTAGTAGTCTCGAAGCGACTTCCGAGGTAGATGGAGGCTTGTAGGAATCCGGAGTGGTGCGGCTCCGCGTTTGAAGAAGGCTTCGCCGAAGACTTCACGTGTAGGTGGAGGCTTGCAGGATCCCGGGGCAGTGCGGCCCCGGGATAAGGCCTTTAGGAGATACTTCCAATTCGCGAACTGAAGCGAGACTCCTTTCTTCACCGATTGTTCGGCTTTTATACCTTTCTAGAGAGAACGGAAAAATTATTTAAATTATACGCAAATTTTTTGTAAATGGTCAAGAGAAAAGAGGATTTATGTGGAATTATCGAAATAGGAATAACAGATCGGTAGCAAATTTGAATATAATTACCATGGAAACGATATAAATAAGAAAGACAAAACATGTCAAATTTTTGTTTTTGGTTTATAATAAGAAAACGGTAAGATTTAAGTGGAAAATGAGATATTATTGATATAGGAAAAAAGGTAGCGCAGCTGCCCACATAAAGTCCAAGATTGTAGAGTTACAGAAAACTAGCTAAAAGATCGAAAAAAGGTAGACTCCATTGACACCAATTTAAAAGTGCTGATAATGTGAAAATACGAAGTAGAAATGATTTGTTATTGTGTTCTTATGGTTTAAAATCGTTACAGGATCCTATGGAAATAAAGGTGATGTAAAATATCCAGTTTTGAGGTGAATGCAGAAAATCGAAACAGAATGGAAAAATGAATTTAAAATAATGTAAAATGATACGTAAGTAGTATAACACTACAACTAGTATTAAAAATAATAGCTAAATGAGGCGCGATTGTATCTATTATAGACGCAATAACTTTAACGGAAATCCCCCACAGATCCGCAGTTTTCTTAACATCAATAGTTTTAAAATATTTTACAATATCTTTTGATGACACTTTATGAAATGTAAAATTCTTTGTACACACATTTACATTTTGTTTAAGTAATGATTCGACGACGGCAGGAGAAGAATTCAGTGACTTAGTGGTCAAGATCGGAATATCAGTAAAATATTTCTCAAAAACCATTGCTACGTCCTGATCTGATACAGTTAATTTGTTGTTAACACTTAACTGGTAATTTGAATTGCGAGAGTTGATCTTACCAGTTTCGCTATTAATTATACTCCATGTCATTTTAATTTTATTGGAAGCCGTCTTAATTTTGTTGCTCAAATGCAAAGACTTGGCTATGGAGCACACTCTTTTAAATATTTTTGAATATTTTTTTACATATTCCCTAAATTCGACGCTATGATTATATGACCTTTCACGGTAAAGATCATATAACCTATGCCTGCTCTTATGGACTCCTACTGTCGCCCATTCATTGAATGACTTCCGACTGTTCAAGGAGAATGTTTTAGAAGTAAGCTAGAAGTAAGTTAGAAGTAATAGATTAGAGATTTAGATTAGATAATAGAGATTATTAGATTAAATTATTCATCATAAATAATATTGATTACATTGGATTAGATTAGATTATTCATAAATATTTAGTGCAAAATTATTGTATAGTCGTTGGGTTTATTATAAGTATTATGTCATCTAATACAGTCAACCGGACATTAAATCTGACATTCGATATAATATGTAGGTAAACGACCGTATACTTCCGAGTGCGCGGTTCACAGAACACTAATACCCTTAGGCGGGGCGCGGTTAGTACTGAACTTACCAAGTTCCTACTGCACGTTCGCTCTCTCGGATTGTGATGTCACGTCACAGAGAAAGAGCGGGTAAAAATTTAAAAATATTGCGAAACTTTAAAACGTTATAACTTTCGTATTTCTGCACCAATTTGGATGAAACAAAAACTATGGTTATTTTCATAAACATAGCTTTAAAGCTATATAGGTTTTATTGTCAAATTAGAACATGTTGGTGTGACCCATTGCAATTGATTTTAACTATTAAATTATTCAGTACCATTTCATTTCTATTTTCTTATGAAAATTAAAGATAACGATGAAATAGTGTTTATAATTATGTAAGTGAGTACTGAGTACCCAATTACGTACGTTTATTACTTTTAATATAATTTTTGCAGTAAAACTGCTTGTTGCGTCAGAGTACAATTAATTGTGTAATTGTATTAAAAATGACAACCATAACTTCTAATTTCCATATGAAGACTAGTCATAGGGATAACTAAACTTATAAATAAAATAAACGTTGGCAATGTCGTAAGGGTTTTACGGTCTGTGGTAGTGCTCAGTGCTTCAAGGACGAATGCTTCGTGCGCATTTGTTTTGGCGGGATTGATTATTAATTTTAGTTTTTAAGACAGTTCCAAGTTGACTATCACGTGCGCGTGAGCGATAGTTTAATCGTTTTGTTTATTACATTCTTGTTGTTACATTTTGTTTTTCTTGTTTTGTTTTTCTTGTTTTGTTTTAATAATGCCTAATGCTTAGGTACGTTTATAGTGCTCATGAATACGGCAACATTTTAATGTGCCTTGGAAAATCTCATACTTAGGATTCAGATCGGTAAGCTGTTTCATACCAATTTTTTTTAAATAACTTAGCACTGAAAACATCTGAATAAATGCATAACTGAATACATCAGAATAATAAAAATGCCTACACGATGGATAAAAAGCATGACTTACCTTGTTAACATTTCATTTAAGTAATTTTTTTATTAGCGGGGAATTGAACCAGGTATTTGATTTATTTAACCTGTGAATAAAGTGGCTAGGACGAGACAAGCACAGTGGCAAAGTAGTAGGTTTAGTAGATAATTCAGGTATTTAGACAAGTGTTGTAAATTATTAGGTATTGTGGTACCACCGTCAGCTGCGCGCCGCGCGAATTGGGCGTCCGGATGTACATTGACCTAGTCGGCTGATTGTACTTCCACTGCTGGTTTTATGTTTAAGTATTTTCATAATTTTTTTTTTATAAAATTAACGCTTTATTTAGCTGTACTAACATGATGGAGCGTGAATAAAGCTAATAAAACGTTGTGAAAAAATGATATTTTTTTCCTCAGGATCGATTTTATTTCTCACCCATGATCAAAGGTATAGTTAATACTATCGTCTGTCTTCGTTTTAGGGGGCGTTTCACAAACACCTGGTATAATATAAGAAACTTACTAAACAATCTTAATAAAATTAAGAAGACTGTTACCTTTATGTAGGTCCCTTCACACTCTGGCATAACTGGGAACGAGGAAGCAGACATTGCTACTAGAGATGTATCCTTATCAACATGTTCAGATCACTCGTCTATGCTGAAAATACCATTTACAGTTAAATATGCCTTGTTAAGCAAGAACTTGAGATTCTTATGGAAGTCACACTGGGAAGAAATAAGCAAGGTCAAAGGAATTTGGTATTATGAAATACAAAAAGCCCGCTAGCTACTCCTTGGTACAACAAAAAAGGATTAATAATAGAAAATTCATTAAGACTATCAACCGAATGAGATTTGGACTTAGCAGAGTAGCCGTCCATCTGTATCGTTTGTGAATGAAAGAAAATGCAAATTGTGAATATTGTGGTGACACGAAAGGAGACCTAAAACATGTGGTTTTTCAATGTTGTCAGTTTGGTTTGAATAGATTACTCCTCATTAATTCGGTTCTAGATATTAACAATGATAAATTCCTGATACTTTTCAAGGCTATTAGCCGACGAAAAATTCTTCCGGACATTATATCTCCGCTAGGAGTAAAGTATTCTGTGCATTATATTCCTTTATTTCTGTTGTTCAAAATATATAAAAATGAAAGCAACGTGATATTAATCAATAATGCAAACGTAAACAAACTCTTTGCGAATCACTGTGAAAGTGAATTTTTGATGAATGTATCGTTCGAGATATTTCAAATTTTTAAAGATAAATATACATTGTAACTTCGGGCACAGAAGGGCTAGAACCCAGCGACGTAAAGCCAGTTTAAAAAAATTGAGCAAAGTGAGTGTTTCAAGTTAATCTGTGGTTTCTAGTTTGTGGATCAAAGCAATAATTTGAGAATCAAAAGCAAATTATTACCCAATGAACTTTATTTTCTGATTGTGTTTACAGTTTATCTGATATCATAATCAGTTTTGAATTAAGTGAAACCACAATATGGCTTCGTCTTTAGAGCAATTTGTAAATAATGTTAGAACATCATCAGCATCGGGTAAGGCAGAGATATGTTTAGTAAATATTATGTCTTTAACCCTAGAATATTATTTTAAATGTGTAACTGCGAATGCTAGTGATCGCCTGGGAGGCTTCTTTCTAAAACTCTCCTTAAAATAATAGGCGTACCTCTACCTTCCCTAAATAAATAATCAAGATAGAAAAAAATTCCAATCCAGTCTTCAAATTACATGTTCGCGGCTTTGGAGTACCGCGCCTCAACGCACGGTCACTGATATTACTTTTTCTAATAGGACAAAAACATGTCTCTGATCTAGTTATGCTTGCTTCTAAAAAACTTCTTTGCCCTTAAATCAATTATTGATAATAAACGTTTTATATACTATCAAACACTTATTTTTGCTTAAAGTTTAGACAAAAGTGATTTTAACTACTAGTCTTAGCCATAATTACAAACCTACATTTGACTGTTTTCATCCTAAATCCTTAAATGCTAAAAATAGATTTAACTATAACATCTACAGTGAGACTTTTTATAGCAAACTTTAAGGGACCGGAAAGAAACAACCAAATATTAACAAAATATTTTTATTGCAAATTTTTGATGCTTAAATTATATGTTTATTAATAATTAATATTAATATAAATATTAGATTATTAGTCAAATACTCAAACACTACTTAATTTTAAGATTTCATTAAGTCTCATGGGTATCACAGTCACTGACTTAAATTATAGAGACAGCACGAGACTTAATGGCATCCTAAAATTGAGTATTTGGTCAAGTATGTACTAGTAGAGCGTCGATTATCCAAACTAATTGGGGGACATGGATGTTTGGAAAACCGACTTATTTGAATAATCGAACTGTATAATTTTATGTACCAATATAGTAGTAAAACACATTTATAGGTACTACAAATTTCGTTTATTACCCCTCGGCCAAACACTTGTCAAGTGGCATGGGAAGTAGCGAGGAAAGCAAGCAGATGTAGTGTGGCCACAATACTCGTAATGTCGCACATCATGCTTCTCCTCATGCCTGTCAAAGGACTGGCAATATGAACGCTAGTGGCTGGCCACATACTCAAACAAACGCAGTTCGAATCGAGTGCTCATTATGGAAGCGTCGTTCTATTCTAATTCAATGAATAGATCACCCACATCAACCACCATCTATGTTGGCGAGAACTTCGACATATATTTCTATAATAAATATGCATATAGTGCCCATGCTGCCACAGTTGTATTAACCAATGTGTTGCAAACGCGAGTGTAGCGTCGCGATTAATTGCACGAGTAGAGCAGTAATGTGGCCAGAGAGGCCAACATCACGACAGATCAAAGACCAGCACAAGGGAGCATAGTGTGGCTGAGCCAATACAGTTATAAGTAGGAATAGAAATGAAGTAGAGATAGCTCAGCAAACAAAAAAATATTTTATAATCAAAGCACAGTTTAGTCACACACTTTTTTCAGAACAGATATCTAATACTGGTTGCTTTCACTTGAGCTTCAAACCATTGCACGGCAGTATCTAAGCAAGTAAATGTTTTAGAAGCAGTAGTTATATTTGCGCCTTCATATTCTGAATCAATAGTTGATGAGGTGCTGGCGGCATCAGCTTTGTCGCTCACGACAACGAGATCTACAATTTTGCTATCCTGCAAGATTTGGTGCTTTGATCTGCATCGTCGTCAATCATCCATTCTTGAATGTCTTCTTCATCACATTCATGGCAATTGAGTTCTTGAAGCATATTTAGCATTTCAGACATATCATTCCGTTCTTCATATCCACTTTCACATTCTGCTATACTGAAAATTTTATTCCAGGCTTTTTTTTAATTGTTCTTTTAAACTGTCCCAAGCTACTCCGAGCATGTAGGATGTGTCTTTTAAATCAATATTTTTATAATCTCTAATAAGACTGTTCTCCCTCATCTTCTCTTTCTAGCAACAACTTACGTAGCAATTCTTTTCTGTAATATGGCTTGAAAGTCTCAATAACACCTTGGTCCATAGGCTGTAATAAGGAGGTGGTTACGTTAGGTGGAAGAAACATCACTTTTTTAAATTCTTTCATTTAGGATGTCACATGATGGATGAGTTGGTGCATTATCAAGGAGCAATAAATTTTTCTCTCCTTTTTCATTCTTTAGCTGATGGGCTTTTACAGCGGGTACAGAAACTCCACACTCTCACTCAACTCTCAGCTCGCTGCTGAGTTTGTCGGATCTCAGCGTGTTAGTCACAGTCTCAGCATCTGTAAATATATACTCGTAATGGTCGCAAATCATATTTTGTTACATACAACCTGACCCTGACCTGCAAATTCCAAAAAACGTAAGAAAAGTTGAAGTTCGTAGGCCAGCCTGGCGCTTTCACCTTAATCTAAAGATAAGCCCATACTTACTAATTGCTGAGAATATTAACTAGTTATTTAAAAAAATTGCAACTCTATTTCTGTTTTGGCATGAGAATTCCAAAGTAATTTTTAAAGTACTAGAAATATAACAAAAAACTTGCAATTATCACAGTTCTTACTACAGTCAAAAATACTACCATCTTTATTACAGGAATAACAGTTTGGAGAATGTTCCTAGTAATAATTTTATTTAAATTTAAATTTAATTAAATATTACTTTATTACTTATCTTCACGCACAATCCCTGACGGGGTAGCCAGAGAGAACAGATCGCCAAGTGTCACGATCCTTACATGCTTTTGTGGATCTTGAGAAAGCATTTGATAAGGTTGTAAGGAAGAAAATGTGGGAACTGTTGCCGGGGTATGGTGTGGATGGCCGATTGCTAAGGGCTGTGCAGTCTCTTTACTGTGACTGTAAAGCCTGTGTGCGGGTAGGGCATGACCTGTCACCCATGTTTAGCGTCCAAACGGGCGTAAAACAGGGTTGTGTCATGTCTTCCTGGCTGTTCATACTGTATCTCGACAGCTGTTTACAAAAGCTGAAAGATAGCTGTTTGGGTGTGAAATTGGGTGACATAAAAGTAAATTGTCTGCTGTATGCTGATGAGGCAGTGCTATTGCACCATCAGAGGCAGAACTGCAGGCATTAGTCACGTGTATGAAAGAGGAATGTGAAATTAAAGGTCTCCGTTTGAATGCTAATAAAACTAAGGTTCTGGTATTTGAAAGGGACGAAGAGAAAACGAAGTGTGAAATATGGGTAAATCAGGAATGTCTAGAACAGGTAAATGAAATTGTATACTTGGGGAGTGCTTTTAGCCGGGATGGAAGATGTGATTTAGATGTGGACAGGCGTGTCGCTGCCGGGAACAAAGTCAATGGTGCCCTGACTGCGTTAGTCAAAAGGCAAGGCGTAGCGAAGAGTGCACGCCTTGCAATACATAACGCAGTGTTGGTACCGACTTTGTTATATGGCAGCGAAACCTGGGTATGCCAGAAGAAGCATAAAAGTAAGTTGAATGCAGTGGAGATGCGATCTCTTCGTAAAATGTGCGGCGTTACTATGGCCGACCGAAAGCGAAACGAAGAGATTCGCAATATGGCAGGTTTGAAAGATGACCTTATCACAAAAATTGATAAGGGCGTGCTTCGGTGGTTTGGGCACGTTGAGCGAATGAGTGAAGACCGAATGGTGAAGAAAATATATAGCGCGAAAGTTAATATTAATTAAATATAATTTTTATTTTTGTAAACATCTACTTAGTTTGTACATTTATTTTGTGGGAGACACTGGCTCCTGAGATACAGGTTCACCTACATTAGGAGACAGGGACTTTACATTTATTTGTTAAAAGTTACTGGTGAAATAAAGCATTATTATTATTATTATTGCATACAAAATATAGTTATTACATCCATGAGTATCATTCCATAAAATAAGCACTGCTGGATGTTGATTCAAGAGAAAAACCTAGTGTGAGGGTAACATTATGTATATATATATATATATATATATATATATATACATGTATTATATATATATATATATATATATATATATATATATATATATATATATATGTACGTATACATACATGTAAGTCCTTTGGACCAACATCCGACTGATTATGATATTGAGTATATCAATGTGTTGATAAGGTTTTTATTTTACTTTTTACGTTTTGACTTCCAAGTTTTATGCCTATTTAAGTTTCAATAAATTATTCTCTGTTGATAACCCTGATTATATCTTATTCAGGTCATTTTAGGGAGTTAGTGGAAATGATAGGAAAGTCAGATGAAGTCTTACAAAGAAACAGTGCTCATTTGAGTACAGTTTTGGAAACACTAGATATTCAACAACATTCTCTTGGTGTTTTAGCTGTACTTATTGCTAAATACTCTGTCCCACAAGTAAGTAATTTTATAGTAATTTTTACTTATGTAATAATGTGGATTTAATAGACTGGCATATTTAAAGCTGTCTTTTCTTTGTCATAGAGTAACATTATTTTAAAATCATTAATTATAATATTTAAAATATTTTTTTCAGGGAACAACTGAGGTCGATAAAACAAATATGTATCAGAAAATTCATGAATTTATAACTAATTGTAATGGCGAACAAGTACGCTTAGCACCTGACTTGTGTATGTAATTAAAAACGCATAATACATAAAACAATAATAGTTCACTGAAATCATTGATTTTATTTAAACATTTTGCAATTTCTAGATGCAGAATTATGCCACCAACTTACAGAACACTTAATTGAAATAAAACAGCCAATACGAGGTATTGAGTTACTCAAGAAAGCCATCAAGAAAATACAATTATTTGATTCCCAGTTAACTTCCATACATTCCGACTTATGTCAGCTTTGTTTGCTCTCTAAGTGTATGAAACCAGCACTAGAATTTTTAGATACAGATGTTACAGGAATTGGATCAGAGGTATGTGGTATTAATCTTAACACTAGCATTAACTTTTGAACAAACTAGCTAATTGCATGGAGTAAAATGAAAGCTAAAATGTTTGATTTATTTTTATAATTATAATGAAAAATAATTTATTGCCATAACAGTGGTAGAGCCACACGGCAGCTTTTAATATTGAGGGTGTCCCAGTAATGGTGGATAATCTGGTACGTCCATGTTCGGGCGGAGGGGAGGTGGCCTCGGTTCCCTAAAAAAAGTTCTACCCCGAACGGTTCCCGCTCTACGCCATGTTTTATAAAATTCCGAAAATTCGTACTTCTGCTCACATTTGTGGTCATCACGTCCACAGTTTAATACCTAGATTGGATTTCTTTCTTTTAATGTGTTCCCTAATAATGATGTTCCTAAATTACCCTTACAAGTTTTCAACTACTATGGGTAGTATTTTACAAGATGGCACTAAACATAAGTTTAAATTTTTTACTTTATTTATCTGCTAAGTTTGAGCACCTGTGGTGGAAAAAAAAACGCGTGGGATCTGTGTGGCCAACCATTTAAAAAGTTTGCCTACATCATGAGGATTCGAAAACAGCATACTATGTACTTAATATCATTACTTACAGAGCTATAGCCGTTAATGTGTAAAAGTAGGCATTTCATTACAAAATTATTGGCAGATAGTTTTTTTAACATTACATGTCTTTATTAGGTAACTACATCTGTTTGAAAATTTTACTTTACTATCTGCTCGCAATGTTTGGACTAATTCTAAGCTATGTGAGCGAGACAAACGGTGCTTAGCATTAATGTGAGTAAAAAGGATCGACAGATTCTCCATTGTAAGAATTCGTGTTTGGAATTCCTTTTTGGTTATTGTTAAATATGGTTAGTGCGTATCTCGACCTTCTCGACATCGCATATGCTCTATTATTTTGGACTCTTGGCTACTAAATACTATTTCGCATTTTACTGGACTTTTGACTTGTGCATTTTGATTGGATTTTGTTTGTTTGGTGATAATTGTGACAACTCGGCATTCTACTGGACTCATAATTTGTGCACAATAACAGGACTGTGTCATCTCACAAGAAATGTACACACCCTAAGAGTATGCTATCATGCATTTTATCTATGATGAATGTAACGTGAAAGAGATCTAATAAAGAGTGCACTCATTTCTTTTGAGGGGAGAATGCCTGGTGGAATGCAATGTATTGGTGGTGCCAGTAGCAGAGGGCGATACCTGGACATTGACATTGAAGAAATTGGCCATGATATTGTTGAAAAAGATCCGTCTATTTCGATGCGAGATATCGAATGACGCACTGGAGTATCGCACTCTACAACACATCGGATTCTCAAAAAATGGAGACTTCACCCTTATTACGTTACACGTATGCTAACGCTTCAACAAAGTGACTACCCAGCACGAGTACCTTTTTGTAGAGAAATGCTGAGGCGAATGGATGAAGATCCTGGGTTTTTAGAAAAAAAATTTGGAGCGACGAGTCAACGTGTAAAATCGACGGGTACCTTAACTTGCATAATCTGCACAGTTGGCAGCGAGCAAAAAAGGAGGTCTCAATACCAGTTTAAAATAAATTATTGGACAGGAATACTAAACGGAAGAATCATAGGCCCCTATGAATTGCCGGGTAACCTGAATGGGGCCATTTATTTAGAATTTCTGTAAAATGAGCTGCCCCATTTATTAGAAGTTGAGCCACTAGCCATCCGGCGACGTGGCTCCAAAATGATGGTTGTCCGGCACATTACGCCGTCCAAGTAAGGAGTTACTTAAACAAAGCCCATCGTGATCGATGGATCGGCCGAATGGGGCCGTTATGTGGCCATCAAGATCACCTGATTTTAACCCATTTGATTTTTTTATTGGGGTTGCCTAAAGGAGCAAGTTTATAAAAAACCAATTAAAACAATCGACGAACTTCGACTTCGCGTCACTGACGCAGCAAGAGTTATTTCAACCAAAAATTATCAAAGACTTTTAGAAAGATCGTTTGTAAAATGATGTAGAGCCTGCATAAGGGCAGGAGGAGGCCAGTTCGAGCATGTTCTGTAAATGACTTAAGGAAAAATTTGGATATAACTCATGTCCTTTTCATTAATATATCTATGTATTTATTATAATAAATATAATAAGCTTAAAATTCCGCTCGCGTCTAATACTGCTCGGGGCAAGCGGAGCAATAAAACCAAGCCGACCCCTGTCACGCTACCAATGAATTTTTGCAACATCTGGGGACTTCATTCCAACCTTAACGCTGTCCATTACCATCTAGAGACCTTGCTCTTTTTAACCAAGACTCAGGTGTCCTCTCCGGCTGATACTTCATATCTCTCCTACCCGGGATACAAATTATAACACTCCTTTGTGTCCCGGGCTGGAGTTTGCGTATACGTCAGAGAGGACATTTGTTTTCGACGCCTCAGCAGTCTTGAAGGTACGAACCGGTCCATCCTATGGCTGCGCGTAGACAGCGACGACTATCCCCGCTTCTACGGGTGCCTCTATAGGTCCCATAGCGGTAATGCCGACACAGACCGTCCTAATGGCTGCAGACTCCGTGCTACAACAGGTCCCATCCGCAGAGATCGTGATACTCGGTGATTTTAACGCCCACCACGCTGAATGGCTTGGTTCTCGTTTAACCGCTCATGCGGGTAGATCTGTCTATGACTTTGCCTTGGCATATGGCCTAACACAACTGGTTACTTCGCCTACGCGGATCCCATATGTGGAGGACCACGTACCTTCCTTGTTGGACCTTCTGCTGACCTCTCATCCGGACGGATATCAGGTCTCCGTCGATGCCCCTCTGGGCTTTTCGGACCATTGCCTGATCCGGAGTACGGTGCCACTCACGCTCCAATCGTAATTGCGATCTGCAGCTTGCCATTATAAACTGCTAGCTCATGAGGTACCTTGAGGATCACCAGCTGATTAGTGACCGCCAGTACGGTTTTCGTCGGGGTCGATCAGCTGGTGATCTTCTAGTCTATCTGACTCATAGATGGGCGGAGGCAGTAGAGTCCAAGGGGGAGGCATTGGCCGTTAGTTTGGACACAGCGAAGGCGTTCGATCGGGTCTGGCACAAAGCGCTTCTTTCGAAGCTTCCTTCCTATGGGTTTCCCGAGAAATGGTGCAAATGGATCACGAGTTTCCTTGCTGATCGGAGCATCAAGGTCGTAGTAGACGGTGCATGCTCTGATTTCAAGCCTATCAACGCTGGTCTTCCACAAGGCTGCGTGCTATCACCAACGCTGTTTCTCCTGCATATCAATGATATGTTACAAACTGGTAACATTCATTGCTATGCAGACGACAGCACCGGTGATGCCTTATATACCGGCCATGCCAATATTTCTCGGGAAAACGTCGCCGAGTACCGGGACAAACTTGTGTCTGAAGTCGAGTCTTTGCTGAACAAAGTCTCGGATTGGGGGCGACTTTATCTAGTCCAGTTCGATCCCCAGAAGACACAAGTTTGCGTGTTTACCGCTAAAAAGAACCCCTTTGTCGTGTCTCCTCAGTTTCAAGGCACTCCCCTTGCTGCCTCAGCTAGCATCGGAATCCGTGTATAAAATCGTAATTCGGAATAATGTGCAGTTTCGTGGTCACTTGGAAGGGAAGGCCAGATTGGACTCTAAAAAGCTTGGCGTGCTCAGCAGAGCGAGACAGTATTTCATGCCGGCATATCGCTTGCAACTTTACAAAGCACAAGTTCTGCCTCACATGGAATATTGTTCTCATCTCTGGGCCGAGGCACCGCAGTGCCACCGCAGTGCTCCTTCCACTTGACCGTATCCAGCGCAGAGCGGTTTGAATCGTCGACGACCGAGTTCATTCTAATCGGCTCGATACACTGGCGCTGCGTAGACATGTTGCATCTCTTTGCGTATTTTATCGCATCTATCACGCGGAGTGCTGAGGAATTGTTCGGACTAATTCCAGCCGCTCCATTTCACCATCGCACATCGCGTCAAAACTCGCGATACCATACCATCTGGATGATTGGCGGTTCACCACTGTCCGATTTTTCCGGACCGATACGACTTAGGAACCTTCAAGAAAAGAGCTTACATCTTTCTAAAAGGCCGGCAACGCATCTGCAATTCCCCTTGTGTTGCGGTTGTTCATGGGCGGCGCAGTCACTTACCATCAGGTGAGCCGCATGCTCGTTTGCCCCCTCTTCTATAAAAAAAATATAAAATAAATATTTTATTTCACAAATATAGTTTTTTTAATAAATTGCAATTAAATTTTATTGTAAAAAATACAAGTGTGCTAAAAAGGATTAAGATTACTAAAGGATTAAGTTCATTTAACATTAAATAATACATATATTTTTAAAAAAACTAGCTAATAGTTGCATATGATGTATAACCTTAGCAATGAGCAACATTAACATTATATCCTGAAAAAAAATGATTCAAGTAGTATTTGAAATAATTTTTCGTAAGCGAGAATAATTATTTTAGTGAAAATTGTAATTTATTTAATTAACACTAAGAGTAATACAATTTTTTATTGAAGACAGTTATTTTTATTCAATTTGGGGGAGAGCGTGGACTATAGACTTATGATAAATACAATTGCACCACTAAACCTTATTATTTGTCACAGGTATTTTATTATTTATCGCTTTCATAAATATAACAACAATATTTTATATAACCAAAAAGTTTATAAAACATAAACTTTAAATAATACAGGTTTTCACATTTCTTATATACACTTTTACTCATATCTTCTAAACGAGTTATCCGATTTTCATAATAAATCGGATAACTCGTTTCCGTAACCCGCGCGCGCTCATTGGTCAGCTTTCTGCGAGACGCTTCCGTCCCTTTTTACAAAATCTTTCCCACAGATTGCAGGAAAGCGAGAGGAAAGATGTTACACATTAAAAAATATTAAAAACACGACAAATATTTTAATAATAGAGGAAATCTTTACATTAATATGTAAAGGAAAACTTTGTACTCCTTTATAAGGATATTGCTCGCACGGAGAAGTGTGAGATTTGCACAGTGAAAGTTTAAATATTAGTGTAGATGGCTAAAATATATGTGTAATATGTGTTAAAACATATATTATTTACTACCTGTGCGGTTAAAGAATGGGATTGAAAATAGCGTCGCCTCTATTCATCCGCTGGTAAAGAATTAAAAAAAAATACGTTGTGACATGCGTTTTTCGTACGTTCTATAACAGTTCAGCTTGTCATTGGAATCAATGATAACAAAATGCCATAAGCTAAAAAATAAATTCAGTCTGTTTTGCTAATTTGTGAGCTACGACACATTCTGACAGTATTCTTCATAGTTATTGTCGATTTTGTTTGTTAATATTTTAATGTAAAATATATACAATGCCATTGAGACATGAGTAACCATTTTTAAAATTTTCGTATGTCCAGTCTGTCCAAGCTGCTAATCTCCGGAATGACTGAACCGATTGTAATAAAACTTCATGAACAACAGGAGTGATTTAGACTAAATTTTATCCGCAAAATTGACAGATTTTGTTAAAATAGAAATATTAACAAGATAAAATAAATGACCTTTAATGATTATCTTAAGTCTAAATAACGCCACATTAATTGATCCCACCCAGGCGAAGCCGGAATGGGTCGCTAGTTATAAATGTTATTTTACAATTAATGTACCTACTTGCGTATACAATTCTATTAAATAAAAATCCATTAATAGAAAATTTCCAATTAACCGAATAATTTAACGTTATGACGATATGCCGATATTAGCGGATTGTCGGTATTGGTACTGTGCTGGTATGTTGACGGTACGGGCTGGATGAGTCGCCATTTCTTACGCCGAGCCGCACGTCCACCGCAAACTAAACTAACTTAGTTTATCCATAGCTTGCATAGCTGAGCCAGTTTTTCATACATGTGCATCCACCGCAAACTATTCCAGCTAAAATATGTATGTATGAAAAACTGGCTCAGCTATGCGAGCTAAGATAAACTAACTTAGTTTAGTTTGCGGTGGGCGTTGGACGTTCGGCTTTATTCCATTCTGTATCCGCACGGACTATACGTTCATAATGTCAATGTCAAACACCCATTGTTGCTTGGGCAAATTGGCAGTATGAACGTAAACATTAAATGCTTTATTTAATTTATTGTATATGTAACTAACACATATTATATATTATAAATATATAATATAAACTTTAACTATGCTAAATCTTACACTCTGTGCATGCAATATGCTCAAAAAAAGAGTATAAAGTTTTCCCTTAACATATTATGATATAGATATTAATTGTTACATAATATTAATTCCATTTATTTCAGTTGGGAGGAACTAATGATTCAAAGCATTTTCTGCTCTATTATTACTATGGAGGTATGATATACGCAGCCATGAAAAACTATGACAGAGCTTTATACTTTTTTGAAGTAGTTGTTACTGTTCCTGCAATGGTTGTTTCTCATATAATGCTAGAGGCTTATAAAAAGTACATTTTGACCTCTTTTATCTTGCACGGAAAGGTAGTATATTTTTTTTTAAATTTAAAACATTTTATTAATTTATAATACACTTAATTAGAGCCGTGGTAGCTCAGATGGTTGGCGCTTGCGGTAAATTTCACAGTACTCGAGCAAAACCTGGGTTGGATCCCCGCCGGAACCAATGAAATTGTAATTTTAAGTGCTGATTTACCACGTGCTCGGCGGTGAAGGAAAACGTCGTGAGGAAATCTGCATGTCTGAGAAATAAGAAAGAAAAGTATTTCGAAGACATGTGAAGTTTGCCAACATGCATTGGGGCAGCGCGGCGGACACTTCCTTGTCCTAAAACCCTCTCAGTAATGAGAGGCGGCCTGTGCCTAGCAGTGGGACGTATATAGGCTGTACCTTTAACTTTTTTAACTTTAACACTTTTAATTATTACTTAATCTGCTCTCATTTTCAGATTTTGCCTTTGCCCAAGTACACATCACAAGTAGTCTGTAGATTTCTTAAGCCGTTGTCAGTAGCTTATCATGAACTTGCCACTTCTCAGCATGCAGCTATAAAACATAGAGAAACATTTGTGCGCGATAAGAACATGGGATTAGTAAATCAAGTAAGTAACGTCCCCCAAAACACATATGAATTAGGTAATATTTAATGCATGAAAACAATAATACAGTTTTTATCTATAGTGGATACCGAACGTATCAACAAGGTCAAGTTTCCATCAAAACTATCCAAACTTAAGTAAACCCTTGAAAATGTAACCTCTTAGTTCATTCTGACCGAGAATATCGCATAGCAATTCGTTAAGCGAGCGACTATATTATTATCATATAAATGTAAATTACATTTTTTTACTTCCTAGGGTAGTTCTATGTTTCAACATCCAAATCATTCATCCCAGAAACCGCCAATACCTAAATCTATCGTGTAATAAAATTCCTTTCACACTTTTCATTCTGCAAAAGCTTGCTTAGTTATAAGCGAGGAAGCGAATTTCAGTTTTTTATGTGTAGCAAACAATTGCGCGGTTTTAGTTGTGAGCTCGATTGAGTTTTGTCGTATTAAACGGTTTCGTGTCGTCTAGTTTGTATATTTATACGGAACGATTTCTAAATTTTTACAAGCGCTTTATGTCGATGCTCCGTTCCTCTGTGCTCTAATCCAAAGTCACGAAAACTTTCAGCTCGAATTACAAAATCGTTTTCAGTACCTAGAAGATGATATGAATGACAAGCTCGTGAAATTTGTACATGCGGTCGGAGCTAAATTTTGCAAGACCCACCGCAGAATACCACAAAAACACTCTTAATATCATGACTGTTAGACGGCGGATGACGCTGCAGTCTTCAGCAGATTTGACAGAATACAGGCAACTGAACAGACAGATCTCCAAATGCATGCGGCGGGATTTACGCGACTTTAATACAGCTCGTATTGAATAAGGGATTGAGCGGAACCAAAGCTCCAGTCTTTGCCAGAGATCTGTCTGTCAGAATAAGCCAACTGTCGAAGGTGAAGACTGAATGTGGCAGCATCGTTTCCGGGACACCTGAGATTTTCAGTGAGATTGAGAAGTTCTATGGGCAGCTATACACATCATCGTTGGAGCCACACGCAATTGTGAGTAATGATCCGAGAGCAAGTCTTACCCGACCGATGATATTCCGGACGGCAGTCTGAGCGAGATTAGAATGGCTCTGCAGCACTTTAAAAAAGGCAAGTACCCAGGTGAGGATGGAATTACAGCGGAGCTACTGAAAGCGGGTGGAAAACCGGTACTTCAAGTCCTTCAGAATAATTCCGTTCTCCATGGTGGCACTACTCCTGATGCGTGGAGCAGAAGTGCGGTGGTCTTGTTCTTCGAGAAAGGCGAAACCCGCTCTCTTGCAGAACTACAGACCGATTTCACTTCTAAGCCGCGTCTACGTGCTGTTTTCAAGAGTCATTACGAATCGTCTCGCACGCAGACTCGACGACTTACAGCCTCCAGAAAGCAAGCCGGTTTCCGAAAAGGCTTTAGCATCATAGACCACAAACAAACCCTTCGGCAGATTGTACAGAAGACCAAGGAGTACAATATGACACTATGTCTTGCGTATGTAAACTATTAAAAAGCCTTTGATTCCATCCGAATTTGGGCGGTGCTGCAGTCCCTTCAGCGGTGCCAAGTTGACTGTCGGTATATCGAAGTGCTGAAGTGTTTGTACAGTAGGGCTACGATGGCTATCCGAGTATAGAACCAGAGTACGAAATCTATCAAACTGCAGAGAGGTGTAAGACAGGGTGACGTAATATCCCCTAAACTTCACCGCTGCATTGGAAAACGTTTTCAAGCTACTGGACTGGAAAGGATACGGTATTAACATCAATGGCGCGTAAATCACTCACCTACGATTTGCCGACGATATAGTCCTTATGGCAGAATCGCTGGAGAACCTAAGCATTATGCTCAATGACCTCAATAGTGCCTCCCAACGGATAGGTCTTAAGATGAACATGGACAAAACAAAGATCATGTATAACGTCCATGTCACACCTATGCCGGTAGTTGTTGTTAGTTTCTTTTTTAGTCACCATCAGGTGAGTCCCATGCTCGTTTGCCCCCTCGTCTATAAAATAACAATAGTGGTTGGGAGCACTAAGCTCGAAGTTGTTGACGAGTATGTTCACCTGGGACAAATAGTCCGACTAGGTAAGTCAAACTTCGCCGAGAGATCAATCGGCGGAATCAACTCGGCTGGGCAGCGTTCGGGAAATTACGACACATCTTCTCGTCAGGTATACCTCAAAACTTGAAAGTCGAGGGTGTACAACCAGTCGTGTTGCCAGTGATGACTTATGGATCTGAGGAAACTCAAGATCGAAACCCCCCCCCCCCATCTCCCCCCACTAGATGGAGTGACGACCTGGTAAGACATTCAGGAAGTCGATGGATGCAGGTGGCTCAGGACCGTGCTTTGTGGCATTCCTTGGGGGAGGCGTATGTTTAGCAGTGGACTTGTGAAGGGCTGTAATGATGATGATGATGATATGTCGATATTATTATCATAAAAATTAGACTATGTCATGTTAAGAGATGAAGAAAAATAAAACGTACCTACGTAATACCTCGCAATTTAAAATCAGTTTATAAACTACCAGACAAACATATATCGACATAATAAAAAAAACATCTTATTCGCTTGAATCGCCAATTCCATACTGACTCGGTCGCGGTCTATACCGGCCTTATATAGGGCCTCAGGTAGTTTTCAGAACCTTCTATAGAAATTTCTAGAATGTTCTTGATTCTCCTAGTTCTGCCACTCGATACTAGAGGGCGCTAGTGGTAACTAGTGTCGCCATGTACCATATATCAATCGTGGCGCGTAACACTGCACCCTCTTAAGACATGCTCGTCCCGAGCATTATTGGCCCCTTTCCACACAGCCGTAGCACGTAGGGCTGTATCCTTTATTGCGGTCGAGAACTGTAGCTGCTGCAACCTCAGCTGACGCGATGGGAACGATGATACATGTATAGGATATAGCATGCGAGAGAATTAGACAGAATACGGTGTAGTAAGCGGCAGTAGTAAGCAAGGTGTGGACCGCGAACTCAAAAGGTTGTGGGTTCGAATCCACCTTTAAGAACCCAAAATAAGAAACTGTATGCTATATTTGCCAAGTAGATGTGGCGCAACAAAACCCATCACCTCATTTCGTCCTATGGATGTTGTAAGAGGCGTCTATGGGAAATATCAAAAAATCCGATAGATTACGGTAGTATATCTTGTTTATATCAGACCAATAACATATCAAGGCCGACGACCGGCAGCAGCATTAAAGCTGCAAATCGTCAATCGGCCTGCCAAGCGTGCCAGTGTAGTTTTATGGACCCAAAAAGATGTTTTATATAAAATAAAGTTTAAAAAAAATATGGAAATTATTTTCAGGTTCTAAACTCTATGTATAAGAAAAATATTCAGAGGCTTACGAAGACATTTTTAACTCTGTCATTAAGTGATGTAGCTTCACGAGTACAGTTATCTGGCCCAGCCCAGGCAGAATCATATATACTTAATATGGTAAGTCAAGGTTTTCTTGACGTTGGTCAAGATACTATGAATAAAATATTAGAAATTGTTAACAAGCCTTAATATTAACTTACTTTCCTGCGTAAGCTAACTTAACACTAAAACGTCACGTAACGCACAAAATTTAGTATTTTCTGCTGCTTAGTACGCATAGAGGATTACGGCTTGAAAGCTATCAGGGCCATTTCTTTCTCCGTAAATGTGAAACCTCTCCCAAATCTTTGAGAAAGTAAAGAATTTGTATGATGTGAGGTCAGGACTGTGTGCGGGATGGGTCACGAGCTCTACCTTTTCAGAGGCCAAAATATGTCTTGTTTGCGGTGTGCGCCGAAGCATTGTCACGGTACTATTACATTTTTGTGTTCATGCTTCTTGCTTGCCTCAATTTTGTTGGTTTTACTGTCATCTTCGAACACCCATACAGAAGATTGTTGCTTTCAACAACAATATATCAATTATTCATCTCCTGTTACATTGTGTTACACAACATCGAAAACGTCCGTTATCATACTGTAAAAATATTTTTTTACATCAATCAAATCAAACCCGTTTTTTTTCTGGATTTCATGAGGAATCCAGCGGCAACAAAGTTTTCTAACTTTCCAAAAAAATATCCTCGAATTTCCTCGTAGATGATGCGCGGGATTTTTTCTATTAGTCGCCGTACAGTTTTCATAACATTTATCCACATTTTCCTCAGGAATCACAGTTAAGGGTCCTTCACGAATCTCAACACGGCCACAATCAAATTCTGTTTACCATAAGCATTGTGAAAACGGGCAGTGCTACTTTTTTAAGTTTTAAAATGTAAAAAGTTATCGTTTCTTTTTAAATTCCATTTTTGCTTCGGATGACCCGCTAAAAATTATTTTAATCAATATAATATGAGTTTCTTATGTTTAAAAAAATATAACATTCGAAATTCAAATATTTATGAGGGTCCAGAAGTGCAATACTCTCAGTGGTATGCCCTATGTATGAATGAGGGTAAAATACTAATAAGCGCTACAACTTCCTCCCATTCGTTTGAGCAGTATAAGGTACGACGCAGGCAAGTAGAATCAGTCATGTTACAAATCTTAATTGGGGCCGACATAGTAATTCTCTCAATACAAGCAAAGATGATATTCAGAGAGGCTGCTTTGTGTCGCATCGTCATAGGTAGTGATCAGATACAGACAGACAAAGCATACAGGTGCCTACGAATCATCAATTCTCGGAAGAGTTGCTGTAACTTAGGTCCTGTACATATTAAATATTAGGGCGGGGAAAAAGTTTCTTCTTTCTTCATATTTTATAAAATTTATATGAAGAAAAATATATAATATATAAATATACAAATTCAAGAATTGTTTTTTATTTTAAATACATTTAATTATTAATTATAATATATACGTATTTTGTTCGAAACAGGTGAAAATCTGAGGAACTATAAGGTATTCCCAACTGAGCTCTCTCAATTTTTGCTGAGTGGCCAAAGATGTGTGTAGCCTGGCGTTATCATGATGAAAGATCACTCTTTTCTGTTGATCAATTCCGGCAGTTTTTTCTCAATTTCTTGCTTGAGTCTCAGTTGTTGGCAGTAGAGATCCGAATCCGAAAATCAATGGTTTTGCTCGGCGGTAATGCCCTTCTAATCCCCCCCCCCCACACACACACAACATCACCTTATTGCGTGTTAATCCGGGTTTCGCTACAGTTGGAGCTTGACTACCCTTTGACCATGATCTTTTTCGTATGTTCTTGTCGAAGGTGATCCATTTTTCATCACCGGTGATCATCTTTTCAAAAATGGTTCGGTTTCATTGTTTCAATAGAAAATCGCAAATGAGTACACGATTCATTAGGTTTCTTTCAAGCGATCTCGTGTGGTATCCAAATATCGAACTTTTTTGTGTAGCCAGACTTTTTCAAATGGGTCAAAGCTGTTTTGTGATGAATCCTCAATTCCTTGGCTATACTTTCGTAACTACTAATATGCCGATCTTGCTCCACTTTCTTTCAAAAATGGCATCGACTTTATCCGTATGAGGGCGATCATAGCGAGCTGCATCTTTGACATCAAAATTCCCCGGTTTGAAAACGCTAGAACCAACTTTGTGCTACTCTGACTGAGAACTGCATTAGGTCCATAAACGTCACAAATTTTTTGCGGTTTGAGTCGCATTTTTTGTAATAAAACTTCAGAATGTATCGAATTTCTTCGTTAGATTCACTCATTTTGGCGCACAGAAAAGAAGTGGTTTTTTTTACTTTTTCTTTATTAAAATTTTAATTAAACGTATGATTAAACTTAAGTAAACCTGTAGCACTCTTTTTTTTATAGGGTGAGGGTGACAAGCGAGCACACAGTCCACTTGATGGCAAGTGGTTGCTGTGGTCCATAGACATCTACATCTATCCGCTTCCTTTTCAAATCTGTTTTTTCTGTTTCCCAATCAAAATGTAGATGCGTTGTTAGCCGTGAGGACTAATGCCTCTTTTCCAGTAAAAAGGGTCTCCGGTTCTCTACACTCACCATACGAAACACAGCAGCATTAAGCTGCTATTTACGCTGTGAGAGCGTGGTCCTTCCCCGGTCGAGCCGACCCATTGCATGGTTATACAACATATAAAATTTCTGCACACAATAATTATAACGTTTACTACGAGTAATACCCGTAACAATAGCATTGTCTTGTTGCAATGTATAAATAAATGAATATATAATATAAAGCGCAAGTCCGGTTGTGCATAGAGTATTGCTCCATATATGGGCTGGTGCTGCAAAATGCTGCTACTAGCAGCTTTGGACTCAATCGAAAGGCGTGCTAAGAGGCTTATTGGTGACCCGAATTTGGTTAAAACCAATGTTGCCAGCCTCGAACACAGGCGCAACGTAGCCAGCCTTTCGTTTTTCTACAGGATGCATTTCGGAGAGTGTGCGCAGGAATTGTATAATTTAATTCCTCCCACTCCCTTCCACCACCAGACAACCAGACGTTCGGCCAGTCTCCACCCCTTTGTTGTTGACTTACTTGTTTGAACCAAACAGTTTGCTACATCGTTCGTCATGCGTACAGCAAAGAAGTGAAATAAGTTGCCAGCATCTGTCTTTCCATCCGATTACAATGTGGGTGTCTTCAAGGCAAGGGTGAATAAGATTTTGTTAAGTCTATTGCGCTTCACCATTTTAGGCTATATCACCACTTACCATCAGGTGGGATAAGTGCTGGCTTACAATAGTTTAAAAAAAAGATTTACCGTTATACCAAAGAGCCGTGACCAGTCTTAAATACGTTGTAAGTCACGATTAATAGCTGCGATCTCAGTGTCAATCTCAGCCAAAGATGCTTGTGAGTATGACTGGAAATTTCTGCATAGAGGTGGTAAGAACATTAAAAGGTGGGTAGTTAGAAGATATATAAACACCGAAAACAACATAGAAAAAAAAATGGAGAAAAGAGCCTAGCGGTACACCTAGAGACATATCGCACCAGTCGGAAAAATCTTGACCAGATTCTACAGCCTGCTGGCGACCGCGATGATAAGAGGAAAATCAGTCCAGTGCTGACGAGGAGAAATTTGGATGACACAATTGAATGCGTTTAAAAAGTCAATAAGGACATGAACAATCAAACATGACCTCTCCATGCCCTATCTAAAGTTTTCTGTAACTTAAAGTAATGCTGTGGTGGTACTGTGTCCTGGGGAAACCAGACTGATTTTGCTAAGAAAGTAGCATTTTGAAATGAAAGAGGTAACATATTTGTGTACTATAGATTCAAGAGTTTTGGAAAGAAACAAAACTGGAAGGAAGCAATCGATTTGGTACAGCAAGGGGCAAGACAAAAGTTTTTGGCCATAACTTGGGGAAATCACTAGCAGAAAGTGAGAAATTGATGATGTGAGTGAGAACTGGAGTATTGATATCGAGTATGAGAAGTATCATAGATTTACTTACTTCATCATAGCCGGTTGTGGAAGATTTTATTGAAAGTATGGCTTGTGTAGTACCTCATCAGTCATTGAACTGGAGTTGAAAGAATTACCCGATAACAAAGGCAACATACAGTCAGTCATCGCGTTTGATGTAGGAAAAGCCGACATAAACAATAAATTACTGAGGTTGTCAGAACGGGAAGTAATTAAAAAAATATATAAAGAAACTGATTTTATTTTATTTCACTTTTAAACAAATTAATGTGTATGTGGAAACTGATGAAATTAATTCCTATCTTTAAATGAGGACGACCCACAGTTTTAAACCGCACATGTAGTGTGAACCATTTTAATTTATTTGCGTGACTGGATAACCCTAGCGGAGCCGTTAGCCGCTTGCGAACTATCCGCTGCGTCTCGCCTCGCACCGCATCACACGATTACCCCGTCTAGACGCTTTCGATGACCGACTGTTAGTAGTAGTTAGACTATGACGAAGGCATGGAATTAAGTTCCTGGAGAGTCTTAACCTTGGTGGGATCATGCGGGCGTAAAGCAGAAGAGAAGTGTATGCCCAAGCCATTAAGTGAAATATTTGTGATTAGAGAGTGGGAATGTGATTTTACAAATCCTAGGGAATGAAGAAACTTCTATATCTGCCGAAGAGGAGTTTGAATATTATTGTAGACGTAGCGGCATTAGGCAGTTTTTACCATCTGATTACAGCGGTTTCGTGTTCGCTTATAGTGTTGAAAGGTGAGACTGTTCAGATTCTTTTAAAAGTATGAAAAGCTCGATCTCTTCTTACCATTGCTTTTCGCAACTCATCAGTTATCCACGGTTCAGGAGGTCGGCGTAACCGGAATACTCGAATTGGTTGGCTTAAATAGATCAAGAATTTGGGTGTTCTGATGTATAATTTTGTCGGCAACATATTCTTAGCATCACGGTCTAGTAGAACAATCTCAATTTTATGTAAAATAATAGGCGTAGTAAATTTTAAAATATTAAACTCAACATTACTAATTACTTATGAGACGACACTCGCACACTGTAAGAGCTCTAATTTTTAGAGAAGATGACCTGCATCATAAATCCGAGTTTTATGATGCATCCATTTATATGAGAAATAAATTATACTTCTTTGTTTTTTTTTTTCTTTTAAACGTCCCAATTTGCTAATGTTTGATTTTAACAAAAGTCAAACTTCATATTTTAGAATGATAATTATATTATATTATATCATATATAATTGTAAAATTTCATAGATGATATTGTAGTTTGCTAAAATATCTTGAATTTTAAGATTTACAATGCTTACAAAAACAAATATGTATGCATTGGACTGTAGAATAGAATAGAATAGAATGATTTTTATTTACCACTGGTTCGGAAGATACCTCTGTCTTGGGAAGAACCAGCAAGAAACCCAGCGGGACTTTTCTTTAAACATAATTTCACTTAACAATAATTTTGTTTATACAATTTTAAACGAATTTTCATAGAACCCGCATGGTGGCGATCACCTTATTCCCAGGGGTTATTTTCATTCATGTATTCCTTGATATTATAATAAAACTTTTAAAGTTGTTTATTGACAAACTTTGAACATGTTCTGGGATTTTGTTGTAAAAGCGTATACATGGCACATAAATGAATTACTAATTCTGTGGATTATAGTAACTGGCATTAAAAGCTTATGTTTGTTCCTAGTGTTTAAGTTATGAAACATCCTTATTCTTATTAAAGCTATTTATGTTTTTATGTACATACATTACATTTTCATAAATATATTCCGATGCCAAAGTGAATATGTTTATTTCTTTGAATTTTTCTCTGAGGGACTTTACAACTTAGGTTATAAATCGCCCGTACGGCTCTCTTCTGCAAAACAAATATAGCTTCAATATCAGGCGCATTACCCCATAGCAAAATTCCATAAGACATTACGCTATGAATGTAACTAAAATACACTAATCTAGCTGTCTCAACATCTGTGAGACTTCTAATCTTTCTTACAGCATATGCTGCAGAACTATGTCTGCTTGCTAATTTAGATGTATGGGGCCCCATTGAAGTTTCGCGTCAATAGTAATACCAAGAAAAACAGTGGTATCCACAAGACTCAACTCCTCCCCATTTAAGAGCACATTGGTTTTCGAATGTTTTACATTAGGTATTGTAAATTTAATACATTTTGTGTTATTGCCGTTTAATTTCGATAGAGCATTATTTACATCGTCATAATTAATTGACTGCCGTTTGAGTTTGAAAATTAAAGAGGTATCGTCAGCAAATAATACTATATCGTGATTGTCTCCTACAAGATAAGGTAAGTCATTAATATAGATTAAGAAAAGGAATGGGCCAAGAATCGAACCCTGAGGAACGCCCATTGTACTACCGATCCGGAGAAACCTTTACCATTTATCACGACTTTTTGAGTTCTGTTACTCAAATATGCAGTAATAAGTCTAAGCGCCAAATTTTTTACACCGTAATGTTGTAGTTTCGTCATTAATGTCTCATTATGAACACACACAATCGAAAGCCTTGTAATATAGTATGTTATAAATACCGTTTGCACCAAATATTTACTATATTTAAAACGGATATTTTCCTCTAAAAAATCCCTACCATTATGATGCAACAGCGGCGGCGGCATATTATTCACGTTGAGAGAGTTTACGTAGGGCGCCAGGTAGTGAGCACAGCTTCGGCATGGTATCAATAATATCCTTGCGATTGCGCAAATACAATGCCAATAATATAGAATTTTGTGAGGTATGTAAAAGTATACATTAAAAGATATAATATATTTTATACCATTCATTTTAGATAGAAGAAGGAGAGATATATGCAATGATTAACCAAAAGGATGGGATGGTTGTGTTCTTGGACAGCCCTGAAAAATATGCCTCGCCTGAAACATTATGTGTACTAGAACAACAGATGGCTGCTTGCACTAAGCTTCATCAGTATATTCAAGAAATGGATGAACAAATACAAGTTAACCCCCAAGTAAGTTACTTTAATATTATGGCACACTAATGCAATGATAATATTCTATTTGCTATAACTTCATCAGAAATTGTTAACCATGGACATAGTATAGAGCCACATAATCACTTATCTTAACCTACCTGAATTCTAAGTATCACTTATCTTTCCATTTTATCTTGCATTTTCCATCTAACTGCCTCCTCCTACCCAAGACATTAATTGGAGTGGTAAAGAAAGCACACAAGAAACGTATTTTTATATTTTGAAATCATTTTTTGCAGGATAATATAAATGCTTAAAATGTATAATTGAGTTTGTTGTCACTTGGTGAAACTCCCTCTTCTTTGATATTATTGTATTAACATTTGAATTGATTAACTGTGTAGAGGTAGTGTAAATATATCATTCCCGTCCTGCCAATAACAACTAAAAATAAATAACTGCGGTTGCCAACCCACCTGCCAGGTGTGGCAACTATGGCAAATATCCCGCCCATGATGCAATTTATGGGGAGGGCTATTTTCAGCAGTGAACTTTTAATAGGCTGTAACGGTTACGTTTGTATTGACGTCAACATACAACAACATACATTATTGTATAGACCCGTGAATTGTTTCACTATAATTTTGACATATAAACCGACCGGATTGGTCATAAAGCCTCACTAAACCTTACTTAAAGCCAAACCTGTCATTATATATAATTAATAAATTAAAATTACAGTGAAATAAGTCAAATGTTTATGCAATAATTAGTGCATAATATGTTGCAGCCAGATGCTGATTAATCAGTAGATTAATTGAACGGCTAGATCGTTAGTTTATTGTCGGCGGCAATCAACTAAATGCTTCGTATTTTAGTAGACTTACAAACGCGCTTTAAATGGTATGTTTAACGTTTATAATGACCAAAGTCGGCCATGTCGATATAGCGGAATTAAGAGCCGTTTTAATGCTTAAATTTAGTTCCATTAATTGCCATTGTAAAACTAATTGACATATTTTAATCATTACACAAGATAATTTATGCACATTTTATCATTGCAAATGTTGTCTTGAAAAAATTTATAAGTACAACAATTTATCATTTGTTTTTATTCCCTAAAAACCTTTTAATTGTAACTTACCATATAAAAGAACCCTTCTAATATAAAAGAGTTGAATTCATAACATTCAAACATTTTTCATTTCTTTATTCTATAAAAAAAACATAAAATATAACTTTTACCTTTTAGGACCCTTATATCTACTGTAAAATAATTGAATTCAAAACAATCAAACATTTATTATTTTTAATTCTTTGAAAAAATCATAAAATATAAATCTTACAGGACTCCTCTCTATTTATTGTAAAATAATTGAATTGATAACACCTTTCACCTTAATAAACTCGTCACTCTTGCAAACTATAAAATATAGTAAGAATTTGTTGAATCAGTCAAATAGTTAAATATAGATAGACCAACACTTTTGTTAGCAATTTAGCTAATTTTTTAGACATTTTTGAATCCTTGTGTGAATATTTAGCCTTTCAATTAACGAGCTACGATATATACACAAGCTTATTAAAATTAAGGAATGCAATTATAGTATGTTTTTTATTATTCCAGTATGTCAAAAAATCAGCAGGAAGCCATGATGAGGATATGCCAGCCACAAGCCAAAACTCAAAAAATACTTATTCCATGTAAATTACCATATAATATGTAAAATATAACAATTTTGTGTATTAAAGTATCCCATGTATTTGCAAACAATGTTGTTTGTATAATACATTACAACATAATTTTTTTTTATACAAATTTCATATTGCTTCATGTACAGCTTCAGTAAATGCAGTCATACTTTCTAATGGAGTTTGGGGTGTAATTCCGTGACCTAGGTTAGCTATGTATCTATGTTTGCCAAACTTTTTAACCATATCTATTGTCAGTTTTCTAATTTCTTCCTGAAAAGTGTTTTCTTTTTACAGACATGTATAAAAAGGTATAAATAACTTAATAAAAGAAGTTCTTATGTTTTGTTACCTAAAAGTTTCACTATGCAAATATCTAACTAATAGTAATAGTACTTACTGGTGTCCGATACAAATCTTGTGGATTAAGATTTCCCTGCAAAGTAATATCTGATCCGACGATTTCCCTTGCTTCAATCGGATCAACAGTCCAGTCTAAACCAATGGTTTCATAGCCTAATTTGGCCTGAATATCTAATGAATGGCCACCACCTTTAGCAAAAATTGTCTGTAAATATAAATTGTATCGGTTATTATTGTAACATACTCTAAAATAAGTATGATTTTTGTTGTGTGATAGTAAAGAAAGTGATAAAAGTCTATGTCTATCTATGTTTCAACTCAAAATATCGTACTAATTTTTTTATGTATGTAAGGATGACAAACTGACAAGCAAGCAGTAGAAATAAAATGTATAGATATCAAGTTAGAAGGGTCAATGTCATATCAAGTCAAAACATGTGATTAAGTCATATGTCAAACAAAGCCCTTTACGAGTATCTACGTGTATAAAACCTTTTCTCCTGTGGATATATTGTTTTAACGATTATTTTAGTATTTACTTATTGATAGAGGGGAATGTTTGATGAGTCGGATTGATCTAGAATATTCTACTCTTCTCTCTTATCGGGTATAAAAGCATGTGCCAGCGATCGGAGAACGAACTTCTACTCCAGGAAGACTAAAGAAATCGACTTACAACACGAGTTTTCCGAAAAAGCTTAGCAACTTTGTTTTTTTTTATAAAACTAAAAGTGACAAACTGAATTACAGTCCACCTGATGGTACCTCCGTTGTCACCTCTGAGGACTAAGATAGAATGCTTCACAGGCTATAATTATATTGGCTCTCTACACCCTTCAGATCAATGCCAGATTGGTAGGACGACTCTGGAGGACTGGAGGAGGTGGAAAAAGACCCAGACGGATTCATAGCCAGAAAATGAGTCCTGCCACCAAGTAAACCTAATTGAACATCTTGTTCATAAATAAAGCTAAAAATTTAGAAGCCAACTGCATAAAAAATTATTAACTGAAAAGAGAAACACTAAATAAAAAGCGCCCAATTATACTGCCGCCTTCCTTGGAGATTGACAAAAAAGGGTTATTCCGTTTATCCATCCTAAAAACTCCACCCTAGGGTGGATACTCAGAAACTGGTGTACACGTGGTAGAGCCACGCTGCAGCTATATTAACCGGTTCAGTGCGAATGGCACGCCAGGCGTGTGACACGCGAGTCGTGTCTTTTATTTAAATCGTTATAACTCGCTCAAATTACGTTTTGAAAGATTTATCCAGAACAAAATATTCATTATGTTGCAAGTAGTTCATGCCTACGGCTTCGTTTCTGGATATTTTGAAAAATTGAAATTTTTAGGGATTGACAACCTTTTTCTAACTTGTACATGGTACTATTTTTACTTTGTGGGTTTTAAATCATGTTATGGAAAAATTGTAAATAAATTTCTGGAAAACAAGTATCCTGTTAAAAAAAACAATGCGTTTGTCTTATTGTTTAATTTTGCTTAAAATGGTTGAACTGCCGTCTTATTTTATCATATGGCCGAATAGACCTACGAAGTACCATGTGCTCTTGTAATATGGTATAAGGTTTATTTTTGCTTGAAACAGTTCGAAACCGTTCATGCATAAAAAAAGTTCGCTAATAAATAGTCTTTTGTTAATCTGCCGCCGTATAGCGCCGGCGTTTTTTTCCTTTTGAAAACACTTGTTTTGCTATTCTTACTAATTAGACGTTTTCAGATCGACTTTACTTTTACATTTGTATAACATTAAATAATATTTAACATTTATAAATATTAATGAATCATAAACCTTTTTTTTCCAAACTAAGGTTCTTTATTGTTTGATATTTACAAATGTTATTATTAGGTGAAAATTTAATATAATAAAAACAAAGGTTTTCCAGGGTGATTTAGCTGTACCTACTTATATAAATGATTTTTTTATAAAACAAAAATAGTACAAAAGGTTTGTAATCTCTGCATAAAAAAGTCACTTACTCTCAATTTCAAAGAAAACACGTAGAAAAATACGTAGTTACCCACTAAAAACAAGTATCCTCCCGTTTATAACTGATGTTTGATGTCAACTAAACTTAATTAGGTCTAAACAAGTGAAAAAAGCATAAGTGCGTCAAAGAACAAACGTGAATTCCGATTATCCAACAAAAAAAGAACAAAAGTGAATTCCGATTATCCAACCAAGGGTGAATGTTTTAGGGTGCATAAACGGAATAACCCACAAAAAAATGGCTGTTCATTTCTCACTCATTATTCTGGTTTGGAGATTTTCATTAGGGATTATATGTTATGCGGTGGAGCGCCGACCTCTCTTCGTTGATTGCAAAAAAACTTTGGGCTTTCTCATACAGCAATTATTTAAGAATTTGTCTTAATCTCACGGTCATCATGGACAACACACAATAGGTGTACTTACATTTTTTAAACCTAAGGTACACTGATCAAAGTCCCATTTTTAATGCTGTCTAGTGGAGGTGGTATCGTCGGTTGATAATATGTTGATATTACCCTAATACCTAGCTATGCCAGCTAATTGCAGCTGGAGTTAGCAATTTTTTATATCAAATTAATATAGTATTTACGAGGCTATTATTAGCTGTAGTATAAGCCCAAAACAAAACATAATATTGTAGTATCCCGACCCCTAACATAGTTGAATATGAACCAAAACTTCAGTCCGGACTATAGTAATAAGTTGTTTGCGCAACATTTTTTTTTAAATATTTCTATCGCCGATATGTCTTCCAGACCGAATCTCAGTTACAGTAGCCAGTTTCAACGGAGACTTCTCATTTGCGTAGGGCAGGTTTTAGAACGCGAGTGCGTGTACACAGGTGCACTCTCATAATCCGAGGGACGGCAACCCAATTGGAGAGAGATCAGGAGAGGATAACAGCTTAACATGCTTTCCGCGGCATGGGGGTGAAATACCGCTGACTTCCTGACTCTGGAATGCTATTAACAATATCTAAATAGAAAAATCGAATAACTGATTGTGGTGCAACCCGGGACTACATGATATGTATATAGAAATTGTATTTTTGAATCTCAGATGAAACTAGCACTAAATCGCTTCTGATCTGATCTTCTTCAAATGAAAATAATCTTGTAATTGTAAAACTCAAGTAAATAAACAATAACAAAATAATACATACATAACATTAATGATAAAACCAAACAAAAATTCTGACTAATGCAAAACAATTTTCGTGCCTTGTTTATAATGCATCACGTGAGCAGGATGAAAAAAGCTCAATTTACATGAGAGCCTGAGGCAGCACATGAAGCTAAACTACTACTTAACCAAATATGGACTTGTATCGGTTGATGAACATAACTTAATGTAAACTTCACAAAAGTTGTACGTGGTAGATCCATGCTGCAGCTATATTACTGGTATAGTTAAAGCACGAATGGGTCGGCTCGACCTTGGAAGGACCAGGCGCTCTCACAGGATACCAGAGTAAAATAGCAGTTTAACGCTGCTGTGTTTTGTATGGTGAGTGTAGAGAACCAGAGACCCTTTTTACTCGAAACGAGGCATTCTATCTTAGACCTCACGGGTGACAATGCATCTGCATTTTGATTCGTAACCGAGGATAGATGTAAATGTCTATGGGCCACAGCAACCACTTACCATCAGGTGGACTGTGTGCCTGTTTGTCACCTTTATCCTATTAAAAAAAATTGTAACATTCACTATTCTAGGTCCATTATTACTGCCTTTAAATATTATTACATATAAAAGTGCAAATACAAACACAATACAAGTATATGTTACTTTAAACATAAAAAAAACAAATGTGTATATCGATGTAGAGGCGGCTTGTGGGTGTTTTAAGGGGCAACAGAGAAGCGAGCCAGGGGATGGGCAGCAGCATCGTCCTGATAACCACTGTTATTTAGTTATAGAAAGATAGTCCCCATTATTCCTGGCTACGGTAGCGACCATGGTACGCGGGGCAGAGCGGATGTGCTAAGAATCTCCAGTGGGGTGCAGTTAACGCATGATCCCTGAAGACCGACGTGATGATTTTGCGAGATGGAAGAAGATATAGACAAGTTGCGCTGGATATTTACAGGATAGTCTGAGGTCTGGACCAGATCCACTTGAGTGTCCACAGAAAGTGGATCTGGTCAAGCCTCGACGGTATGACAAAAATTGAGATTGACTTCATTATGTATGTATATATAACAGTGGTAGAGCCACGCGGCAGCTTTTGCTGTCGCTCGAATGGGCCGGTTGAACCGGGGTAGTACCAAGACCTCACAGAAAACCAGCGTGAAGTAGAGGTTTACCTCTGCGTTTCGCTTGGTGTGTGCAGGTGGTCGGAGGCCCTTTTTACTGGAAATGAGGCATTCCATCTTAGTCCTCACGGGTGACAACGCAATCTACATTTTGATTTGTGACAGAGGATAGATGTAGATGTCTATGGGCCGCAGCAACCACTTACCATCAGGTGGACTGTGTGCTCATTTGTCAACCTTATCCTATAAAAAAAAAATGACGAACAGATGACAACTGTTCAGTGATGTCTCTGTGATCGCGGTGATGAAACTGGCAACAATCACCAAATTAAGTTAAGATGAACAGGTCTCGTCTAATGAAGTCAACGCTCCGACCCTCGTGGCAGCGTCATGGAAGGTTTATCAATAGATCCAACTAGGCTGAGCTTCATTCGGGAGACTACAACAGATTCATGTCTGGAGATGGGACGGTTTCCTTCACAATCGAATATGGGAAAATTAGTCTTGCCAAAGAAGGACGGGCTCCCTGCAGAACTTCCCTCCGCATATCGCCCAATCGTAATGCTCAGTGAGGTTGATAAGCTTTTGTAATTTGAGTCCTCGCTAATCGCCTCAACAAGCATCACGGCGAGGTAGGTCCAAATCTATCGGAACAGTTGTTCGTCTTCTGAGTTATTCAACGATTATCGAGTTCCACTCGGACAAAATGATGCTAACTAGTGGGGTGATGTTGTCAGTGTCTTTAGGTATCTTTAACGATTTTAATACCTTGCCCTGGATGTGTATAAAGGAGGCAGTAAGGTTTCATAAAGTGCCTCCTTACTCCTTACACTTTAGTTTGGTGTAAAAACTGTCTGGAAAGAGAAAGAAGAGAAATGTTGTGTGGAGTTCCACATGGTTCGTTCCTAGGACCGGGCCCGAGGAACATTGGATAGGACTGGTTATTGCGGTGGTACGGAGACGAGTATCATTGTCAGTGGTTGGTGACACAAGTTGTAGACAGAATACGAATGTCGGGACCAGAGGTGGCATTAAGCACGTCAGAGGCTAATTGCTTTCATGGGCCTAGATGGGCGCCGACAAGACGGTCCCATATTTTCATCAGTAATAATGGTATTGAGGTTAAGGCTATTAGTAGGATGCGAAATTGCAAAAGAAACATACCAATCCACAGTCGGAGGGTAGGGCACTGAAAGGGAGCATCTCTGTGATTGACGCCTAGGTGGCGGAAACGGGGTTGTCCGTCGACTTAGACGCAAGGCTTCAGGGTGGCGCGGACGGCGTGTTTCCTGTGCGATCCGATACGGAAGAAAAAGGAATACAATTTCAGCTCCACTCTCGCACTGAGACGGAGCCTGAATGAGCTACTTCCATTGGGGCTGCGGTAGTGTGCGACAGCGTTTCTGAAGCTCTGGCAAAGAGCAAAGCATTGAACACCATGAGGTTTTAGTCACTAATAGTCCGGCATAACCCACATAATGGACAAGTATACAAAAAAGGTAAGTCCAATTTTGACCGAAAAGTCAATCGACAGATGGATCTGCACTTGGCTGGCATCTGGAGATAATGTAAGCTGAAGTGGCAATGGGTCAGCAATATGTTTGAAAACCTACAACCGATGGGGAAGAAAGGTTTTAGAATGGCAGCCTCATAAGTGGCAATCTGGTTGGTAAGAGATGGAGGTGACTCAAGACCGTGCTTTGTAGCATTCTTTGGGGGTTACTTTTATTCAGCAGTAGACTTGTAAAGAGCTGTAAAGATGATGATGATGAAGATGAAACACAAATGTACCATAGGAACTTGTTCTAGTTTCTTCTCTTCCAGTTTCTTTTGAACTCCATTTCGTATATCCTTAAGATATGGAGACGATACTTCAATAAACTGCTCTCTTGTGAGGTGATCAGCACTGGATTCAAACACTTGTAATAGTTGTGCACCGCTTTCTACCTATGAAATTAGCCAAAAATGATAAAGATTTTATAATTAAAGATATGAATTTTATAAGGCATTAATAACCAAGTATAACTCGGAAGGAATAATCGTAATAGTTGTCATTTACAAAGGTTATCAGTTATTAGTTAAAAATCAATTACAATGTTTTAAGGACATCTGTTATGTGATATTTATAAAAATACACTGCAAAAGGAATGTTTAAAAGGATTTTCTTTGCAGTTATACATACCTGCATTACTAAGTAGTCAATAATAACCCTTGTTAACAAACTAAGAAGCCTGTGAACATCCTTTGGATATTTCTCCAACCAGTCTTTGGTTTTTGACATTGTTTTACTCCCACCTCCTTCTATCATATATCCCATTAAAGTGAACTAAAATTTTTATAAAAAATATTTCCTTTCAATACAATATATCCTCATAATATAAAACCAAATTTAAACCAATTCTCTTACCGGTGCTCCTGTAAATCCAATCAAAGGAACCTTTCCTTCTAATCTGTGCCTTGTTAGAGTAATGGCTTTACCTACATAATCTAATCTAGAAATAGCTCCATTTTCTTTTAACTCGTCTAGTTCAGAGGGATCTTGTAAAGGTTTTGGAAACACTGGGCCCTGAAATTAAATTATTTTCAGATTGACTGAGGAAATTGTATGAAAATTATTTAATAGACAAATACAATTTCATATTTAGGTTTACCAAACCAGGGTGCATTTCCACCGTCATACCAAGAGCTTGTGGAATTACTAGTATATCACTGAATATAATAGAAGCATCCAAATGTTCATAACGCCTTAATGGTTGCAGTGTGACCTCACAAGCTAATTCAGGAGTTTGACAAACAGTGAAAAAATCATGTCGAGCTCTCACTGCTTGAAATTCTGGTAGATATCGTCCAGCTTGCCTCATTACCCATACGGGTACTTTATCTACTTCTTTGCCAAGAGCTGCTCTTATCAGTCTATCATTTTTGAGAGTGGGAAAGCTCTGAAAAAATATTCTGTTTTTAACTTGACACAAGTCTATGAAACTATTTTAAATAATTAATTTTAAAAAGTCAGTAAAATTATAGAAACATTTAAGTTACTGTGTACAATTCAATATTCAATATATTATTATTTAGTATGATTAGTATGACACAATTTCTCATACAGTATTTCTCAAAACTTGACACAAAAGTATCAGTGTGTTGCCACATAAGACTTATTAACCCTTTCCCATGAATCATATTATATGAACATTTTGATTGTTTAACTATTATGTCTATTTCACAGACAGGGAAACTGCTAAGACATGGTACTGCATTACAGGCCATCTTCGAAGCCTGAAGTCGCTCAGGAAACTAAGCTTGTTATTTTTCTGTGTGGTAGGAGTCATAAAGATATCACAGACAAATTATGAATGCAGTGAAGGTAGTTCAGAATCGTGTTTTGAGGTAATCTTCGGGGGAGACCTACGGTCAGCAGTGGCTTTATAATGTGTTGTAATGGATAAACTTTCCAATATGGACCATCAATTTAAATGCCCATATTTTTTTGTAGATAGTACTCACTAAAAGAAAGCGTTTTGCAAAGTTTCAATATGCGGAAACGCATACATTTTGAGAAAAATATTATTAAAAATCAATTATTTTTGCAATATTTATGTCAATTCCTACGGTAAAACTGACACTATTTTGTATTGTCATTGTCATCGTCGGTAGGTATGTCGATTCTTTCCAAAAACGGTCGATTTTTAAATCGATTCGAATTGTAAGCTGATGTATCGATTCACAAAAAATCTATTTCTAAAATATCGATATTTTGTCATGTTTGCATTTATAATGTAAAAATAAATCCATTTTATGAAAAACCAGAAAGATACCATAGTAAATAATCTCTTATTGAAATTTGTTTTATTTTAATTTATATATTTTTATTAGGGCAGATAACAAATAAAATAAGTTAGGTTCAACATATGTCAAAGAATCGAATTGATTGATCCTGACTCCACCTGGTACGAGTCTGTCCTACCCCTAGAGTGGTTATATAGAGCCGGGGGCGCTTAGGGGGAGCAGCCTCCGCCTGCTGTAACAAATCGTAGGCATTGGATGAGCCGAAGCTGCAGAGGCGAGGAGGGATGCCTGCGATTTGTTACGCAAAGGCGTAGAGGCTGCTCTTCCCGCATCGCCGGAGACGTTGCAGTCTCAAAATAGATACAGAAACCCCTTTTAATCGGTCCTCCTATTTTGTCTGATGAAGGGGATTTTGTTCTCATAAAATGGATTTATATTTTCATTATAAATGCAAACATGAAAATATATCGAAATTTTTGAAATCTATATTTTTGTGAATCGATACATAGGCTTACGATTGGAATTGATCTTTTTCGGAAAGAATCGACATCCCTACTGACGATGACAGTGACAATACAAAATAGCATCAGTTTTACCGTAGGAATTGACATAAATTTGCAAAAATAATTGATTTTCAATATTTTTTTTTCTCAAAAAGTACGCGTTTCCGCATATTGAAACTTTGCAAAACGCTTTCTTTTAGTTAGTACTATCTACAAAAAAATATGGGCATTTAAATCGATGGCCCATATTGGAAATTTTAACCGTTGTAATGATAATGATCATCATCAACATTAATTACATGATTATTTAGTATGATTTAGTATAAATACAAAGTGACAAAGTTACCTTGTTGGAGAAAGCCATTATTTTATTACTCAATTAATTATTTACTATACTTTTTATAACTTTGCAAGTGTAGACGCTTCTTGATAACACTCAAACTATTAACAAGTATAAACAGTAATTAACGATTAGTATGTTAACAATATCATTATCACAAATTCATTCTGACACTGACAACGACAAGTTCAAGTTGACACAGTGACACTTGACAATATTTTTTTTTTGGAGTTTATGGCCTGGCATCTAGACCTTTATGCCAAATTTGACAATAGACATCCTCCTGTGTTGCTACTTGCCAACTGAACAGTTACGAGTTACCCACTAGACTTCCAAAACCACCAAAAATAATGCATTCTTCAGGCTGGAATCCTCCCTAGCGATATCCTAAATTTTTATAAGTTAAGATTTAGTAACGAGTTGGTGATAATTAGAAACAAATTAGTGACTTAATACTTTAGGAGATAATATAGCCCTTTTTTGGGGATGATTCTAGCTTGAATTCAAGCTAGCAGCCTCCCCTCATAAACACCTTTATTGTATGTGCCTGAGATGTGATTCCTATTTTAAGGTTAAGTGACTAATTGGTGACTTTCATATACCAAGATTAAAACATATTGCTCCAAAATAACCCAAAATATTAATGGCTTAGGGAGAATTCTGACTTGAAGATATATCATTGAATAACTCCAGAACGCCTATGCCTTTTGGTGTGAAATATGTGTCAAGATTTAGTGACTTAGTTTTTGAAGAAATCGGTTTGATTTATTAGCATATAAAGTTTTGTTGACGTAAAATAATATAGTGCCGCCATTGTAAATAGTGTAATAAATTGTTTATAGTTTTATACCCCTTTCATTATTTTAATAGGAAGTTATTGATTGTTCTCTTTAAAAAAGTAATTCAGGTCTTCACATAGTTAAACATACACAGTTCAAGTATAAAGTAGTAGAATCCACTTGCTTTGAGTCCGCTTCAGTAGCATTAGAATAGAATAGAATAGAATAATTTTTTATTCAATATTGATTATTACATAATACTTATTGAAAGTCATTTTTTATTTACCACTGGTTCGGAAAATACCTCAGTCCTGGGAAGAACCGGCAAGAAACCCAGCGGGACTTTTTTTTAAACATAATTTCACTTAATAATAATTTTGTTTATACAATTTTTAAATAATTTTTCATAGAACCAGCATGGTGGCGATCACCCTATTCCCAGGAGTTATTTTCATTCATGTATTCCTTGATATTATAATAACCCTTTTTGTACAGTTTTTCTTTAATAAAACTTTTAAACTTGTTTATTGACAAACTTTGAATATGTTCTGGGATTTTGTTGTAAAAGCGTATACATTGCCCCATAAATGAATTACTGACTCCGTGGAGTCTAGTAACTGGCATTACAAGCTTATGTTTGTTCCTAGTATTTAAAGTATGCACATTCTTATTCTTATTAAAGTTATTTATGTTTTTATGCACATACATTACATTCTCATAAATATATTGCGATGCCAAAGTTAATATTTTTATTTCTTTAAATTTTTCTCTGAGGGACTCTTTACAATTTAGGTTATAAATCGCCCGTACGGCTCTCTTTTGCAAAACAAATATAGCTTCAATATCAGCCGCATTACCCCATAGCAAAATTCCATAAGACATTACGCTATGAATGTAACTAAAATACACTAATCTAGCTGTCTCAACATCTGTGAGACTTCTAATCTTTCTTACAGCATATGCTGCAGAACTAAGTCTGCTTGCTAATTTAGATATATGGGGCCCCATTGAAGTTTCGCGTCAATAGTAATACCAAGAAAACAGTGGTATCCACAAGACTCAACTCCTCCCCATTTAACAGCACATTGGTATTCGAATGTTTTACATTAGGTATTGTAAATTTAATACACTTTGTCTAATTGGCGTTTAAGAGCATATTGTTGGCGTTAAACAAATGTACCAATTTCGATAGAGGATTATTTACATCGTCATAATTAATTAACTGTTGTTTGAGTTTGAAAATTAAAGAGGTTACGTAAGCAAATAATACTATATCGTGATTGTCCCCTACAAGATAAGGTAAGTCATTAATATAGATTAAAAACAGGAATGGGCTAAGAATCGAGCCCTGAGGAATGCCCATTGATACTACCGACCCGGAGGAACCTTTACCATTAATCACTACTTTTTGAATTCTGTTACTTAAATATGAAGTAATAAGTCTAAGCGCTAAATTTTTGACACCGTAATGTTGTAGTTTCCTGATTAATGTCTCATGATGAATACAATCGAAAGCCTTAGAAAGATCACAGAAAATACCTAAGGCATCTTGTGAATTCTCCCAGGCATTAAAAATATATTTCATAAGCTCCACACCGGCGGCAGACGTCGAGCGACTCCTTGTAAAACCAAATTGGTTTTTATGAAGTAATTTATTTGTATTAAAAAAAGTTAACAATTGATCCAAAATTATTTTTTCAACAATTTTACTGAGAGTTGGTAGTACAGAAATAGGTCTAAAATTAGCGGGGTCCAGTGTACTACCAGATTTAAATAAAGGTATTACTTTACTATACTTCATTAAATCAGGAAACACACCAGAATTGATACAAGTATTAAAAATAATAGCAAGATGAGGTGCAATTAAATCTATTATGGCCGCAATAACTGTAACGGAAATCCCCCACAAATCTGCGGTCTTCTTTACATCAATGGTTTTGAAGTATTTTACAACATCTTGCAATAATACTTTTTCAAATCTAAATTCTTTTAAACAGGTGTTAACATTCTGTTTGAGTAATGACTCGGCGACAGTTGGAGAAGTATTCAATGACTCGGTTGTCAAGATAGGAATATCAGTGAAATATTTCTCAAACACCGCTGCGACTTCTTGATTTGATTTAGTCAATTCATTGTTAATTTTTAATTGATAGTTTGAGTTACGAGGTTTGTCTTTACCGGTTTTATTGTTAATTATACACCACATCATTTTAATTTTATTCTTAGCCGTCTTAATTTTGTTGCTAATATGTAACGGTTTGGCTGTGGAGCAAACTCTTTTAAACGTTTTGGAATAATTTTTAACATATTCTATAAAAGAATCGGAAAGATTATATGATCTTTCTTGGTAAAGGTCAAATAATACATTAAATTGCTTATGACAAATTAATAAAAGAAAATAATTAAGTAGCATTTATTTCCTTCGAAAAGTTATGTACTACGTATGCCTATCACATATATACGGGATTTGAAAAAACAACCATTAGAATGATGTAAATTAATAGGTGATTTTAGGCTGTGTGCTAACTATTAAAATTATTTTCCTTTAAGTAATATTAAAAACTAAATCATAGCATTGAAGTGATAAAAGTAGTTAGATTTATAATACAAGACTCTTTAAATAATAAGTGGGCTTGATTCTTGAAGGCATATAATGCCTGGCGCATTATTTCTCCACAAGAGATAGTTAGAAAATACCAGGCTTAGTGGTAAACCAACTAAGCAGGTAACACTGACCACCACATTCGCATTATTTATTTATTTATTTAAAAGCCAAAATGTGCATGCTCATACAGCATTGTCTGTCTCTAGTATATATATCGTAATCTATGGTCTGACGACATGACTTGTCTGACAGCATAAATATATTTTTTTTTATTTGGCAATGGGATGGGCTCGTACGGTTTTACTTTTAAAACTATGTATTATGAAATTACGCTTATAAAATTTGTTTAATTTCTTTTCACAATGTGTTGATGCGTGACATTGCGTTGCTTTGCGATATTTGTAGCTTGAGCCAGCAGACAATCCATAACGATTAATGAGGGCTAATAATCTTCCACTCACCAGATGTCGCTAGTTGTGACTGAGGTAAAATTTTTTGTTACACAATGTCAGTTAATTGAGAAATTAGTTTTAAATAATAGTTTATCATTATCTAGAGTATTATATTAATACACAACACAATGCGTCAGTGGTTTGATTTTAAATTTTTTGCACATTATAACTCTTTTTTTTTAAAAAGTCGTCTTTTAGTTATATTTATAGTTTGGTTTATTCATTTCTAATGTAATTAATATAAAATATAACTAATAATACATAAATAAACCTTAAAGATTACATTTTCCTAAGAAATTATCATCCCCGCTATGAAATCTGTCAAATATTTTACCTTACTCTAAAGTGGCGCCGCCCTGGTGGCAGAAAAAGTCGTGGATGCCCTCATTGTATCTCAAGGCAAGACAACACAAAACAAAGCAGACACAAAAACTGAAAAGGTTCACATTACTATCGGAGCTCTTGTTTCATCTTTTCCGTTAATCGCAGCACACTAAATCGCCCCATTTCTTCGGTTTCAAAATCCACTTCAAACCATTCATTAAAAAAACTACCAATCGTGGCAGTAAGGTGGTCAAGTTCCAGCCAAAATCCTCGACATGTAATTTGTTTACAAAAATCTTCACAATATGCACTTATATTACTTGATTAAATAATGTAATGTACTAATGGATTTGTAACTTAAACCCTTCCGTCTTGCGAGTTCGTACTGTGTCACATCTCATTATTCGAAAAGGTATTTCGAAGACATGTGAAGTTCGCTAACACGCATTGGGGCAGCACGACGTACATTTCCTTGCCCTAAAACCCTCTCAGAAATGAGAGGAGGCCTGTGCCCAGCAATGAGACGTATATAGGCTGTAACTTTAACTTTTAAAATAATTTGACAGATTTCATAGCAGGGAAAATAATTTCTAAGAAAAATGCAAAGGTTAATGTTTTTTTCTGTATTATTAGTTATATTTTAAATTAATTAGATTAAAAATAAATAAACCAATACATTTTAGTCACTGTCAGACTATAAATTTTATGTATCCAACTAGGAGGGCTTAGTCGGTTATAAGTTATAACTAAGTGCAGCCGACTGTGGTTGGTTAAACTTAGGGTTATTCGATTTGTATAAAGTAAATAAAAACTTTAAATAATATGTAAAAGCTGACTTCTAAGAACTAAAAAGAGTGAAATAATTTCTAAATTGTGTATAGAAGAATTAGAGCCCTGACTTTAGAATCTGTTGAATTGAAATTATTTTGTTATATTTAGTTTACCCCTGAATTCTTTCTTCACAGGGAAGGGGCTTACAAAATTGGTCATTGAACAAAACCTCTACTCATCACCG